ACGGTTGGTTGCCCTACCTCAACACGCAAGTTAAATTATCCAGTGGCATCGCTTACATGTGAAATGGTACCGCAAAAGTAGCTCGAAAAACATTCTGATTCATGCTACTTCGGCTCACCCAATCGCCGTCAAACGCGCCGTTGTCAGAAATATGTTCAGAACCGCGACTGTGGTGAGCACTGGTGATGTTGAAAGGCGTGAATCACGACAATTAGCTATGAAAATAGCCATTGCAAATGGCTATGCGGTACAAAGACACCAAAGTGAGCATATCTCCCCAAGAGGGGTGCCGCGTCAAAATAAGTTACCCTTATGTCTCCCCTTTATATCTGACAAAGTGAGCACTGCTATTCAACGGAGCATTAGAAGAGCACAGCTGCAGAACGATGTTCAGCTGGTTAATATTCCCAATGAAAACATCGGACGGCAACTAGTGCGAAACAGGCTCTATGATAGGCAGTGTGTGTCAGACGGTTGTGTTATTTGTCCATACGGTAAAGTAGGAGATTGTGCATAGCGGAGTAATTTATCAAATAGAATGCCAGACTTGTAACGCAACCTATATTGGAGAAACAGGGAGGGTACTAGCTATTCGCATCAAAGAACACCTCGCTAGCATGAGACGCGGTACTCGTTCATCAGCTCTTGGAAGGCATAAGTTCGAGGAGCACAATGGCGTTGAATTTGAAATCAAGTGTACGGTGTTGGCGCATGAGACAGAAATTGTAGCGAGAAAAGCACTGGAAGCATTCTGGATTTCTTCCAGAAATCCAGCAATGAACGGCCGAGATGAGCGTCCTTCAATAACAAGTGATCTTTCGCCGTATATACCGCACTGCGAGCTATAGAATAAAGCGTACGTGCGTCCTGCAATGAACACTGAAATCAAGAGACAGTGCGGTGTGCATTATTTTTTACTGAGTAGCGTCTATATGTGGTAGCGGGACTCCCGCGTGAACGGTGGAACCCTTGGGTGAGTCAAAATTATTTTTCTTGTGTTTCTCGGTGGAGGTTCTGACAGAATGTCGGAACCGCTAGAGTGGATAAGGCGCTTGGTGGATTAGAACGTAAGTCTAAACCTTGAACCGCATTTAGGCCTCAGAAGACGACGATTTTGTCGAAACGTTAGGCCGAACTAATAAATGTTCCACCTAAACCTCGTACGGCACAAGAAACTAACACAAATAACTGCTATTTAATGATCGGCGTACCTAAAATGCACAGAGTAAGATAGCGGGGAGCTGATGGCCGACAACCGATTGAGAGCGACAATCAAGTGAGAGTAGATACAGATATCATAGCACATCAGCAAAATTAGACCGACGTAATTGGAATACTCCTTCATGACTCCAATGTCCCTAAAATGAACGAGAGATGGATGAGTGCATTACTTTTGAAAGCGTCAGTTTCAAAGAACGCGTACAAAAATTGAGACTCTGGCCATATTTGGTGAAACTTCAGCTCTCTGTAGGCATTTTCTTCACTCGCTGACTTCTACCTACTAGACCCCGTAGTATATCAATGGGTTTAGAACGCTTTCTTTGCAATCGCGACATTTCAATATCTTAACATGGCAATTCAATAACTCCCGAGAACAAATTAACACTTCGGGAAATTTCGTAGAGTAGGTTTCGCTGGAAATGTCATTTTAGGAGTGACCTTAACCCATAACGGACGGCCAGTGTATTTTTCGCGTGCGCCACCATGTGGCGCACGCCGCCACCCAGGGTAGGGTTTATGTAGGCTTATGCGAACAGCAGGGTTAAGACGGGGCTAAAGTAGGTGTCCGTGTCTCATCATCCAAAAGAAGAGATTTCCGTTGACGACAAGTTCGTAACCCGCCTTTCCGCTCTAAAACTAGGGTGCAAAGAATGAATGGAAGCTGTAGGTGACATTATCGAAAAATGCGAAACAACAACCCCGAGCAAGGATGTGGCTATATTTAGGGGAAGGGGTCTCGGGACGTGCGAACCATGGGTAAGCAAATAGTAAACTTATGTAAATTAAGACAAAATGTATGTAAAATTTATTGTAGGTTTGTCAAAAATCCAGCCGTCCAGGTCCTGGGAAGATATGTTCCACATTGCTGAGAGTATATACGGGTATATTAAGATTGCTAGAAACATTCAAAAACAAAAGAAATAATCGTGCGCCACCATGTGGCGCACGCCGTCCGTTATGGGTTAATCGAGAATGGTAACAACACTTACAAGGCAACCATGGGCACGTAGTAGAATGCGAACAAAGCGCACAGGACTATCTCTCCAGTGGCCTGGCTGGCTGTTAGTCGTCCAAACGAATTGTTGAGTGTCGGTAGGCTACGAGTGAACACTGCCACCAGCGCATTACAAAGAACACCAGGTAACGCTATCTAAATACACAGGAAATTAATTGCGAGGTAGAGCAATTTTAGGAAACGCCATTAGTGCTTGCAAGGAAACTAGTTAAAACTCCGTTGAATTCATTGAATCTCTGCTTTTTGTCGGCTCTGTCTATCCATTCAGAAAAATCGTTGTTTATTAAAGAAGTGTATGAGTGCGAACCAGGAAGACCAGGTGAGGAGGAGGTGGATAAAGAAGTTACCCTGCGAAATGTTTTCGCATTTCGCAAGAATTAGGTCACAACTAGGTGTTTCCTCCCAACCTTGTGTAAATGTTATAAGATTTAAATTCGAGATGTGTATATTAAGCTCTGTCTTTTCGTCTTCTTTTGTCCTTCTTAACAACTGAGACTCGAAGACAGTTGACTCGCATGACATACAGATTTCGACTTTACGTCGCAAACTCAATAGCATATGACGTGATCTACCGCACACTAATTAGTTTATCGATAATCTGTCAATTAGGCATAGCAACTCGGCTAGCTTATCTATTCCTCTCTGCCCTTCGCCGTGCAACAGGACTTTCGCACTACTCCCGAATGAGCCTCCATGGCGCTATTCCAGCATAATAGCGCTTTGAGGTGTAGCGCTCAACGGTTTCGGAACTTCAATAAGCATTTCCTTATATTGACACTCGTTGGTCTGCGCTAGCGAGGAAGAAACCAGGGAACGTTAGCAACTTTAAGCTCACGTTTAGACAATGGCGTGGGAATGAAGCTACCAGTAACTGTAACATCAGAGAACTGCAAATACTGGAATTGACTCACTCACTGGCAGCAGCTCACACTAGCAGTTGCCTACTCTTACTAGAGAATCGTCGAGTTCGCTTTTTCATAGTCATCTTTCCTATGTACAACCACTGCAGAACTCAACTTACCATAAATATAACT